CACCTTATCAGCTTTAAATCAGCTATGCAAGGAGCTGTGAAATCTACGGGTTTTGCATGTGAGAGAAGGATGAACACGGATTTTCATTGCTTAACAGCAGTCTATTATGCTATAGATAATTCTCACACTGTCATCAATCCCAGAAAATGAAACATTGTAAAAGATCTGCTTTCACCAATAAAAAAACCAGCAGCAACAAAGAAATCATTCTTAGAAAACAATGCTAACATGCATATATTACCCACCCCCCCCAAAAAAAAGCTTCACAGGATATTTATCCTCTCTTCTATGGACAGAGGATTAAGCTAGACCACTTCTGAGCTTTGTGCACTTCAAATTAAAGGGTCTCTGAACTTGAAAACTCACAGTATTGTGCTAAATACAAGCCTGCTATCTGTTTTTGTGAAAACATGCAACATTCATAATAAAAGCTACTTCTGCTTGTTCTATAGAGAAGCTAGTTATGTTGATACAAAAAAATATTGAAAAGAAAGTTTAGAGTTAAAAAAAATAGTCCACAATAATCATTTGCTATAATACCCAAAGTTACCACATACATATTGTGTCTGTACGATGTTGAAATAAGTACGAGTAAAAACAAGAGCTGTATCTGTTAATACCTATATGAAAGGTGTATGAAAACAAAAAAGATAACATCCCTGAAGCATATATTATGTCATATAACCATATAGTACTTTATATACAATATATAGATAATGCAGCTCTCAGCAACCCAATCTAGTAATACTGGACAGTGAAAAACAAAACAATGGCAAGTGACCTTTTTTCCGAGTTCTCTTCCTTCCACTTTTCTACATACCTATTTATATCAACTGATTTTTTTTTAAGTCTTCAATTTTAGGCTTTCAAAAATGAGGTGTATAAAGAAGTTGCAGCAAGTTTCTTTAATTCTTATTTCCAGTAAAATTACCAATGAAGATCAAAATTATCACAGATGCCTTCCTTACTAATAAACAAAAAAATTACAGAGCTGAATATCCAGTATTTTGCTATATACCTGAAAGGACAATAAATTCGGCCTTTGGCATTCCTTTATCTTGACTAATTTATTCTTGTTTACAAGAAATTCTTGGATAACCTTGAGATAAAACAGAAAAGAAGCATTTTGAGAGGGTATAAAACTGAAATCTCAATTAACTGAGTAAAAAAATTAATCTTTAAATAGGCTTGTTTGTTACCTCAGAGAATGGAAAGCCCTCACAATTGTTAGCTTTTCTGCAGGTAAAACAAATGTGTTAGGAACTGAATATAAATGGGAAAAATGCAGAATTTAAACGCTCACCCTGCACATGAACACAGGGAAAAGCAGTTCAATTTTCAAGACATTCCTACTTTCTGATATTGTCCTCCACTGCACTTGCTTGCTTCACTCGCTCTAACTGATGCCATTCACAAGGGCAGCAGCATTTGGAGTCACTGGGTTTGCAGTATCTAGTGCTTTCACAGAATTTACATCCACTGTGTTCATGTTCCTTGTAAGATCCTATAGAAGCAGATGCAAGAAAGAGTAAGGAGAATAGAGGTTTCCAAAATCTCCAAATATACAAAGCTAATAATACAATTACAAAGCTCAGAACACATATGAATCTGACATGAATAGTAGCTGTAAGTAGATCTCAGTGCATTAGTTGTAACTACAGTGAAAACTGAAAAAAAGAAGCAAGCTTTCATTTTTCTGGAAGACGTTTTCCCCAAGAGTTTCAGATCTTATGCCAAAAACTTTATTACCTAAGAACTACAGAAGTAGTCCGTGACAACCTGGCAAATGTTTCAAATGTGTTACTTGTATACAAGCTTTTCTTTCTCCAAGTGATGGGTTTGAATGAATTCACTGATCAAAGATGCTACCAAAATGAGGTTCCTTAAGACTAATTACTTTTTAAGAAAACACTGCAGCAAAACCCAGCAATGTGAGTGGATTCAGTCCTCTGGATGCAAGACTAATTCAGGCAACTAAAGAAATAGCTGCTTGTCAGTACAGCATACTTTTGTCACTGATAGTATTAAAAAGGCAAACATCTGGGATGACATGACAGCATTGTGATAACATTCCCTTTACTATCAACTACATTCACATTTGAAGAAACGTAGTCCCCAGCCTCAAAAATACTTACATAAAAGATATATATACACAATATTGAAAATATGAAGATAGCCCAGAAAGTGAATTATAAGAAAAGTAGTTTTTAATGCTAGTCATAAAAAAACCCAAAACCCAAACAAAAACCCCACCACCTCCCACCCCCAGAACAAAGAATAAACAAATGATTAAGCTAAAAATAAAATTCAGTGCTTTTCATACTGACCTGGATGATGGCACTCAGAACAGTGAGTTACCCTCTTAATAACCAAAGGTGGATTATTATCATCACACTGAAATTGTTCTTTCCATTGCTCAAACCTAAAAAGATGATATTAAAAGGTTTACGAAACATTTTTAACTTTCATACTTAAAATAAAACACTGAAAAATACTCCCTTTCTACTTTTCAGGCATCTACCTGAGAAACAGTTTTCTAATTTATGAAATAGATTTTTTAAAGTACATTATGATTGTTGTATTTCTAGTATTGACACATACATTATGATAACAAGCACAGAAAGCATTTGGTACTTCATGTCCCGATCCACAACCCAATAAAGAAAAAAAAGAAAGAAAAAAAAAAAAAATCAGCAAAAGTCTCTCATCAGTCCCTATGACCTCTTTTCCAATATATCAAAATACATCTACTAGCTCAAGAGCTAGGAGCCAGCTAATGTTTAAAACAGTTAAGAAACTTGCCTAGCAAAACATGTAATTAATTTAGCAAATATAAAGTAAGAAATGTGGTAATGTCTTCCTCCCCTCCCCCCAAATTGAAGTACTATAAACACCGTCTTGGGGCTGAAGTACATACCAGCAAGTTTCTGAATAAAATCAACTTCAGCATACAACAGAAATTTTTACTTTACCTTTGCAATAAGTTTTGACCTCGTAAAGCCTCAATTAACTTTAAAGCTTGTTCTTTCCCAACTCCTGGCACGCCCTATAGAGAAAGAAATATGAAACATTATTTAATGACAAACAGAATGTATTCAGAGTTTCATAAAAACTGCCTTCAAAACATTATGTAGAGAACTGACAAAAATGACCCCAGATGTTGATAATAAATTGAGAAACATAATTTTTGACCAAGTTCTAAAGTCAGAGAAGGTGACAGATTACAGCTGTACTACCAGTATAACACACAAGCTGCATAAAATGTTCTTACATTCAGTAGTGGCTCAGATAAAACAAGGTACAGAAAGAAGGTAACAGAAAACAATGGGAAAAAAAGGGTTGGTTTGTTTTGCTTTCCTTCTTGCTATCTGCAACAGGACAACAATATAAAATACTGGTAACATTCTTGCCAGCTAACTGACAGAGGGCTGAAACTTTTCAGAATTTCTTGGAAAGACAAGATAAAGACAGATCTTTTGGATTTTAGAGTCAAAAGGCTGGAACTTAAAACGTAGAAGAAACCCAGCAAAAAGCTTTCACTCTCAGGAAAGAGGTGCTTTACAGCAACAGAAACATCTTCTAATATTTGAAGACCTCAAGCACTTATGCAAAATCAATACTGAGAGGTGACAAAGTGCAAGAGCATTTTCTGAAAAATAATTAAAACCCCCAATAAAACCACAAACCCAAAGAATTCCTCCCCTCCCTTTCAGTAATTGCTTGATTTTGATATTTACTCCATTATTACAGCTGTAGTATGCATGCCCTTCATAGGAAAAGGGACTACCACTATGGATAATGATAGGAACAGCAAATTTTTTCACAGAATCACAGAATAGTTTGCTTTAAAGGTCATTTAGTCCAACTCCCCTGCAATGAGCAGGGACATCTTCAACTACAGAACATTGCTGAGAGCCCAACCTGACCTTAGAGGTTCCTTTTCTGGAACCTAGCTTAAGGACTGAAATCCATAACTTTGTAGTAATCCCTAGACATACTGAAGAGTGAAAGTCAGTTGATTCAAATCAACCAGAGGAGGGCGACCAAAAATGATCAGAGGGATGGAACACCTCTCCTGTGAGGACAGGCTGAGGAGTTGGGGTTGTTCAGCCTGAGAAGAGAAAGCTCTGGGGAGACTTTATTGGATCCTTCCAGTACTTCAAGGGGGCTGATAAGAAAGATAGGGACAGACTTTTTAGCAGGGCCTGTAGTGACAGGACAAGGGGTAATGGTTTTGAACTAAAAGAGGGCAGATTTAGTCTAGATACAAGGAAGAAATTTTTCCCAATGAGGTTGGTGAAACACTGGCACAGGTTGCCCGAATGGGTACATGCCCCATGCCTGGAAACATTCCAGGTCAGGTTGGATGGAGCTCTGAGCAACCTGATCTAGTTGAAGATGTCCCTGCTCACTGCAGGAGGATTGGATTAGATGTCCTCTAAAGGTCCCTTGAACCCAAACTATTCTGTTTCAAAAGGCACATACTGCTTTTCCAATTCCTCTTTCAATCCTTACTCTATTTTGCCAAGAATCAATGCAATTAAATATAAAGATTGTATTGAATGTGCTTTCTGTAGTATTGTTACAAATAAAACTATAGCTTATTTTTATTCAGCTGTAATGGCTGAACTGAATATAAGCAACCATATGAAATAAATGTACATTCAAAACCAACTAGAAGTCCTCATTGGACTGCAGCCAGACACTCAGGCATGGAGTCAGATACTCAGCTTCTGCAAGGAAAGCATCATTTTGATATATATTCAACAAAGTAAGTGCAGTTATAGAGTGGTATTCTCATTTTTCTATTCTGCCAATCCCCATTCCCAATGCACTCCTGTAATTCAGCTTTCCTTAGAAGTTCCTATCTTTATCCACTTTGCTGGGCTGCAGTAGCTCAAAAGACCTATCTGTCATTACACAATTGTGTCAGTTTAGGTCTATGCAGGAACCTGGCATTCTGGCAGCTGCTAGTTCCGTAACAATAACCACTGATTAGCCACGGGTTTTTTTACTCCTCTCTTTATACATTTTGTACTACTACTACTACTGCTGCTAATAATAATAATAAACTATTTAAAGATTCCTATAATGGAAACAAGTCTTTCAGGAAAAAAAAAAATTAGAGCTATTTCCTCTTTCAGCAGTATTAGTTGTTTAAAAAGTCAGTTTTATCAAATTGGGACACAATGATTTAAGAATAACTAGATACCCACTGCAAGCCTGAATGGGAGTAACCATTGCCTGAAGTCACTGTATGATGAACTGTATGGAAAAGAAGTTTCATCCCACTTCATTTGTTTTTCAAATGCCCATTGCAACAGCTTCTGTTCAAAGCCTCAAAAAAAATTCAAGTGCTTACAGAAAGAAGAAAAAAAAAAAAAGAGAAGTAAAGTAGTAACAAGTGAGATCCCTCTCACTTCATCCGTTAGACAAGCTTTCAAACAGGTGACTCCTACTTCTTCATAAATCATATATTTACAAATGATAGAAATAAAAGTGGATATATCCAAACTGCATCCAGAACTGGTGTTACTAATAACTAAAGTTCAAACCTACCAGTACTAGCTATTCCAAATAGCATAGACAAAGTTGTTTTTTCTCATTTTCCACAACTACGCAGCCAAGGATGTATTTTACATTTATTTTGAATGGGTTCAAAGTATCCTGGCAAACAACTCAGTTCTCACATTTGCTCAACATAACATCTAAACTTTTGTGTATTATTCCAGACTTTTATATAATGGAGGTGAAGACAGTTTTGAAAGATTATGTTCATGAACCATTTTGATTATCTTTAAGTGTTCAAACATAAAATGTACAGTAACTTACTAAGCATCTTCTTCAACTAGATCTCAGTAATCATACATTGCATACAGTTTCGTCAGTATGCACAAGTCTCCCTTGGTACATTGTCTTGAAAAACAATAAACTGTTAGTACCAAATAAAAAAAAAAAAATTATATTGCTTACTTTCGGAAGATAATCACAACCCAGAAGAACAGCTAGCCCAATCAAAGACTCTCTGTCACAACCAAGCTTCTCCTTAACAGAGGACATTGTGTAACAGTCAAGAAGTGGATCCTGCAAGAGAAATTTACTGCACATGTTATTTCTGTAACATCAGGGAAGGAACAGCCCTCAGTCACATTCCGTTGTGATTGCTTATCCATCCCTATTCACCCACATCTGCAGGAAATGGGTCTATCCCATAAGAGGTATCCGAGAGCAAAAAAAAATAAAGCAGCAATTAAAATTTATAATGTAATGCATGGACACCATATGAATAATTACAGTTCTGGAATTTCAAATTGCAAGTATGGGCATCATCTGTTGAAAGAAACTAAAATAAGCCAAGGGGTGTTTTAGTTGTTTACTACCTATAGAAAAAGTATGCAAAACGAATATTATCTAGTACTAGTGGCTGTGCAAGTCATTTTAGGAACTGCAGTTTTTAAAATCCATGTAAACATTTTAATGTGCTACTTGAGTAAAAAGAAAAGAAAAAAATAATTAAGATATTACCTAGCATATTAGACATGAGCTAAAAGGAACACCTAAAGCTTTGAAGGTTAGAGGGACTCAAACACACCAACATAAAATCAAGATTAACATGAATTAAGACACAGGAGACTGCCCTCCCTTCCCCCACCCCCTCGCCAAAATAAACCAAAAACCACACAAGCCAACAACCCAAAATAATCTAGTTGTCTGGAACATATACCCCTGACAGACACAGACCTATATAAATTATTTTTTTATGTTGACTTAGATATGTAAGAAAGTACACCTGAAAGACTGAGGCCACTTTCATTTTTGGTGATAAATGACAAGGAAGCTAAATGAAAGAGAAGAACCAAGTCAAGACAAAACCCAAACACTGTGCCATGGCAAATCACCTTTAATCAACTGTAATTATTTTTTAAAAAAAGTTAATTGTTCATAGTGGTTTTTTTCCTATTCTGTCAATTTTCTCCTATTACTGAAATATTTTCTCAATGTCTTTCAGATGAACATTATTTAAAATTCCAACCCCAGTATAATTTTTCTTCCACTTTTGTGTTAGATTCAGACATAACACATGCATTCCTTTCTCTGATTTATACAGAAAGTATAGGTTATGGAACTTTGGGGTTGCCTTTTGCCAGTTCTGAAAAATTACATTCCTAGGTCAAGGTCATAAATAGATTTGTTTTTTTGAATGATGACAACAATTGATCATTATACAGATCTACAAACCTCACCCTATTCTGGTTCAATCGGAGACTAACAGCATTAATTCTAAGTATATTCCTAATAAAACAAACCTGCACGATGCAAGTGTGCGAATACTGTTGTTAGACCCAGAAGGCTGCCCACTCCCATATGCCCTAAACAATAAATTTATAGGAAGCAATTATTTCACTCAAATTTTCCACCACAGAGGAGGGAAGGCATGAGATGGGGAGTTTGCTATTTAGCTTTGTATTAAACATCACAGGACACTACACAGACCATAAGTGTTCTTCAATTCAGTTGTTTTGCTCTCACATCTAATACATGTATTGCCAGTGAATCAAACAAAACATTCCTGTCTTAAAAGTACTATTTTAAACAAAACCAACTATGAGAGGGTAAGTGCAATAATATCCAAGCAATTGTTTCAGGTCCCTTCCTTCTATTTAAATGTCTGGGAAGAGCCTAAAGACAGGGTGAGAACGGGATGAGGTACATTACCTTAGCATTCATGGCAAAGTTCCTATAAACTGTTTGAGCTCCATATAAGAAGACATCTCCATCATTGGTAATGCAGCCATCAACATGTCCTTTTGCATTTAGGTAGGCACACATTGCCTCTGCTTCCCCGGCTGCTTGAACCCAAGGGACACCTAAACACTCCAGTAGTTCGAGACACTAAACAAAGGAATCCAAAATGAAAGAGTGACTGAACACTGAATTAGATCCACTTATTAGCTTATATTTTCTCAGACACAAATGTGTACAAAAACTGCTACTGTTACACTGCCTATAGAACACTACATTAATACAAGCACTGCTTTAGGAGAAATATAGTTTACTGCAACACTTAAAAGAAATATCCAACTAAAAGCAAAGTATTAGTTACAGGATTTGAGGACAACATGATTAATGGTTACTCCTTCACAAAAGTCTTTACACTTTAAATAGTTATTTAGGATGTTTTCAAAAGAATAGTAACAAAGCAATATTTATCTTTGTAAAGCAACACTGTTTACTCAAGTAGTAATACTGGGCTAGGACAGATAATCTTTCAACAGACACCAGACTCCCTGAGAACATCAAGCATCAAAGAACAGTACTGTTGGCTTAGTAAGACTGGACCATTGTATAAGGCACACTGATACATATTCATATATATACTTCTTACAAATTTCAGAGAAAAGAATTTATCTTAGAATCTAAGAATAAAACATGAATTTATACATTCAACCTACTGAAGCCATGAGCATCTATAAATGCTATTTCATAAAATTCTGAACAGCCAAAAATGGTTAAATATCTGCAACAATGAACGAAAAACAAAATTACTGAAAAGGAGGTCATTGCGGCCAGAGTTGCCTCAACCATTTATACCAAGATGACTATACAAACTTCCTTTTAGCCTAACCCAGTAGGTTTCCAACAAGTGTATCCTCTTTAGCTACACAGTTAGTTTGCCAAGTCATAGATATAGGTTACAAAACAGTTCTGTGTACCCCTTCAAAAACACACTAGCTTAGCTTACACAGATACACAACACATTCCTGTTTTCAATCTAGGAAAAAAAAAGTATCAATATTAACATTATTAAAGCACAAGGAAGTTGAATTTCTGTAATAAACACTGTGGCGCACTACAGCATAACATGCACAGGAACACAACAAACACAAAAAATATTCCAACCGACATCGTTCCTCTTCTACAACAACAGTTAACACATGCTGTAATGCCCAATTTCAAAGGCACATGTTCCCTCAAAACTCAAAATACTGTTGAACTTTGTTGTGTAGAAAACTATTAATTATTTGAAGTTCTTGTATTTAATTTGGTTAAGATTTCTTTCTATCACATTAAAATTACTGAAATACAGCCCTCAATTCCTCACCTCTTTTAAAATGGCTTTAAATAAAGATCTCCCTGTTCTTGCAGCTCCAGCTTTCTTTGAAGGTCCATAGCGCATCTCGTTCCTCTTACTCATGGTGTCTGCTTTCAACTTGGGGGCCTCTCCTTCCATGACAAACACTAGTTTAATTCCCATTGATGTTAAGAAAGAGAACCGAAAAAATAGGTTTCTGCAATAAAGCAAGGTGTTCCATAAGCTGCAGAATTAGCGAACCCCAATTTCTTCAGGTTTTCCTTAAATCCCTCAGCCTACCCGAGGAATAATCTTAGCTTTCTCTCTCCACCTTTTATTATTCCCTCACCCCCAAGCTAACAAACTTTTTATCTACATCCCTGCTTTACTATGAACTTGTAACAGCTTTACAAAATTACCAAGAAAATATCACGTAAGAACAAGAAACATCTTTTTTATTTGTAAAAACATAAGCAAATTTAAAAGGCTTAATAAAAAAACATTCAATATCTAAAGTCTTACTTCCAAATACCTATCCACATTGATTATTTTATATCAAATTTTTATCCCAAATCTATCAATACAGGTACATCAGACTCTGAAGTGATTGAATGCTGTAGTATTAGACAGACTTATGATACCAATACCATGCCAATTTATTTCATATGCAAACCAGCATCACTGATGGGTAGAATTTTGCAAGGGAGCAGTAATAACTGCTTGATCTATAATAGTAAAATTAAGAACAGTAATACAAGACAGCATATGCTTTTTCCAGTAATTCCAGGATCAATCTTTCAAAAAGATTAGACCAAGCTTTTCTACCTCTTCAATTGACATGGGAAGACCATTACTCTAGATTTAATTTTGTACATTTACTCTTGGTAAAAAAGTATGAGCTGATCTTCTGAAGTTAGCTCTATTTTCACAAATCATACAAAAATCACTTACAACAAGTTTCACTTAGCAAAACAATTTAATTTGCAACTGCCTGGAAACATTTTTCTTTTTGTTAGAAATCTGTTCATTCTTTTGTCTTGCTTTTGTCTTGCTTTGGAAAGACTGCGTAAGCGATCTGGACTGATGCTGCCATTCCACTGCATACAGGACATCCTACTATACGGAAGTAATGACTTTGGTCATGCTTCAAGTTTTAGTTAATTATCCATTTGAGGTCATAAGCATAACATTTTAAGAAATTATTCTCGGAAGATGCTGATATTTCATATCAGCTGGACTCAACAGAAGCCACAGGAACGTCTAACAGCAGTTAATAACTCAGTGTGCTCTGAATTGACTAGCATCCAAACTGCTGTGATAAACAGCTGAAACTCTCACACTATCTTCCATTACACAGACTCAGAAATATATAGGAATTAGCACACTGGTTCGTGTTCCTCGATAATCTGTATATCACACAGTGCTATACCACAGTAAGACAAACATGGTTCTGCTGACATCCATCTCATCTACCATTGAGGCCTCGAGACAAAGCAGGCTGGGCCCAAGAACTTCTATTTGCACCCAACCACTAAGCTGAATTCAGAGAGTACGATGGAGTCTTCACTTCAAACCCTTTACGCATGTAGCACAAGTGATAACAACAGAAGCTAAACAACACAGTCATATGAATTTTGGAGGTAGTCTTAAATTTCGAGTAAGTATCGTACCTAAACTATACAGCTCCAAGACTTTTGGCTACAACAATTTATATGGATACCATACCTCAGATGTGGCTTGGTAACTACTCCAATCATCTTTTTAACGGTCTGTGCTTCACAAACCCACAGACTTAAATCAACAGCAAGCGTTTTTCCTTTGAGACTGCTCAAGTTGACAGGCTGTCTCACAGGCTCAAGGATTTGCCACAGGTTAGTCACTCCCATTGTTTCAGCTGCTTGGTTGTCAGCATGAAGATTTTTGCTGTGAAGATCAAACAAAATAAAATATTTTCAGAATATAACATGAAGTGTGACATGAGCATTAGGTTTGGAAAACAAATATTTAGTCGTTATCAGTTTTACTTTCATGAGCCAAGAACACTTGCAATCAAGCCTTCTAAGTGTGTAGTGACTCCAGTTCACAGATGGTTTATTACTAAATATTGTCTTTGGACTGTACATTTTCATTGCTAATAGCCGGAACATAAAAAAAACCAAACTCACTTGGAGGAAAACAAAACCAAAGAACATTTTCAGGTCTCACGTGTCCCTTATATATGCACAATCTAAGCTTTACTTAAAAACAAAGAAAAAAACACACTTCTCAAGGGAATTACTTCCTGATGTGAAGTAGTAGGATTCACATTAAAATGCTTCTGTTCACATAGAAGTAGATTAAAGATACTTGAGGAATATTTACAATGATGACAGAAGTTAAATTCTCCTTAGTATTCCAAGATGATATAACAGCCACAAATTCTGGCTTGGGAAATTCAAGTTGGACTTCAGGAAAAAAATGACAGAGGGTACTGGTTACTCAGAGGTTGCAGAATCTCCATTCTTGGAGACTTTCAACATCCAGCCAGCATACTGTCTTACTGATTTAATCCCATACAGGTGGAAGTCCCCCTCTGAGCAGGGAATCAGCATTGGTAACTTCCAGAGGTCACTTCCAATAAACACTCTGAGACATTTATAACACTGCAATTGCAGAAACACACTACTGTATATATTTTTACTACTGTCAAAACCAGGACAACTATTTTAATTTGGTATTGTGTGACTGGCACTACCTATTAATGAACATCAGCTGAAAACATATAGCTATTAAGTAGTATATTTCGTTGTCTCTTATCTAACTTGACTTACATAGCTTTATTCTCCATGCTGTCCCATTACTGGATTTAATTTTCTTTCTTTCCTTTTTCATTATTCTTCTGCTTTTCATACCTTGCCACTTCTATACAAGACCTCTAACACATACTCTGCTTTTCCCCTCTCACAATACCAATCTATTCCTGCACTGTCGTACTGTACAAAGTTTGCCTCACACTTATTTCTCTACTTTTCCCATTCCTCCCTCAATTGTATAAGATAAAAATCGAAGAAAATCTGGAACATTTTGTATTTGTTTCATCCTGAGTTTGCAAATACCACATATTTGGATATAATCAAACCCTCCTCTGAATAAATCATGAGTAGATGAGCTAGCTGCCTGTGCTCTGAGATCTGCTTCAGGCACATGAGGAGCTATGCCACCTTGCGGCATCTAGTGAACACAGCCATGTTAAATTCAGCAATCTTCCACATTTAACACCACCACAGTCTGTCAGAATAGCAAGCCTGTCTTTGTAGGATGTGTTATTTTATACTCTAGAACAGTTTTAAAGCAAGGCAGCTAATCAATAAAACATAATTTCTGCCACTGCAGGAATTCTGGGTTGTTTTCAAATAAAATTCTCATGTTAAGATTTACTTTCAACAGAAATCATGTTTCTCTAATCCATTTCTTTAACTACTTCAATCACTCAACCTGATTTTAGTCATATGCATACAGGGCATAATGTATTGCTTTTGTTGTTGCTATACCTCAAGCACATAAAATTAATTAAAAATATAAAGTATGCAAATGCATGGCCTAATTTTTTAGGATCCAGGATGATCAGTTTCTCTGATGCATAGGGGAGGCTAATTAAAGGCATCCAAACTGTCTCAAAAGACAAGTGTGATCTTCAGCTTCAGGGGAGTTTAACAAGAGAACACCTAGCAAAAAAAGGAAAATGTCTTTTTTGATGTTATCATTTGGTTCCTGCCCATCTACATCAATAGACTTTTTAAAGAAAAACTGTGTCAGTGTTTTTCTAAACATTGTTATGGAATGTCACATGGTACTTAAATAACAGGAAAGACAAATACACTAAAAACACATTTCGTAAGATTACAAATAATAAAGAAAAAAGTATAAAAACCCTGAAGACTAAAAAACCCCACTTTTTTCATGATGAGAGGAGGTATTGTTATTTGAGGACAGAAGTTTTCCTTACCCCCTTTCAATGTATAGCTAAGGTTGAGCTATGAAAGCCTGTGCAACCTACTAGTCCTTGCTTTTTTGAGCGCATTCTGTAAAATATTTAGATCTGTACCCTGTATACAAACAGATCTACTACTTGTAATAGGAGTGACTTGTGTATTCAGATTTTATTGGGGAGCTTCATCCATCACAAGCCTCCAGTCTTCTTAGAGAGACAGTAACTTCCAAAGAAGGGAGATTGAATCTGATTGTTCATATACTTACAAATCACTGAAGACACTATGCTATTATAAGATCATTGACAGGAAATATAATGTAAAAAAGCCCATGAAAAACCTTCTCAACTTTGCATTGAGCCTGAATGCTCTATAGCTTTTATGCTTTATAAATCGTGTTTTAAGACTATATTCTGCTCTACTAAGTTTTTTTTACACAGACAGAAAAGCAAGCCAGTTACTGGAAAACAACTACAGAAGACATTTAACACAAGTTTCGTTCACGCAGATATGCTTTCACTCATTGCCAAAGTAACCTGCAAAGACTGCCAAGCATAACCTATATGTCTGACCCAAAGGCCTCAAAAAAAAAAAAAAAAAAGGAAAAAATAAAAAAAGAAGGCAGCCCACGACACATTTTTATCAACTTTCCCACTTCCTCTCTGTGCTCCTCTAGCGCCTGGCACAGCTTTGGCAATAAATCTGAGCACCTGAAGCACAGCAGTGACGTGCTTCAGCATTTTACAGATTCCTCCTTAACCTCCTACTTTTCCTCTCCCCCCGCCCCCCCCCGAGATGAAAACAAAACCGAGAAGTTGCCTGAAAGCGAAATAACCAGACACGCAGGCATCTTGAGTACAAGCACCCAAAACTCCCGCCCCGACGCAAGCTAGAGAGAATGATGCGCCGCACAGACACACACGGGCGCTTCCCTGACCCGCTGTTTCCGAGGGAGGATGAGCCTTCCGGAGGGCGCTCGAGAGGACTGCGGGCCCAACGCCCGGACTCCAGGTTTGGTGCAGGGGCCTTCTCCCTCGCAACGTTCCCTCCTTCCCGCCCGCGAAGGGACGCCTGCGGAGCTGAGGCCGGGGCGCCGTGAGGCCCCCAACGCCTCCGGCGAAGGCGACTCAACCTTTGTGGAACGGTTCGGTAGACACTTACATCCCGGTTTGAGCCCCGAGCAGGCCCAGCCGCTTGCTCACG